TTCACATTCCATGCAAGGTAAAACTTAACATATTCTACATTATAATAAATATAGAATTAAGCTAACAATAATGCAGTTAATTATGATACAGTCATTAGTGTAAAAATTCAACTATGAGTTGTATTTTATAATGACCAAGCAATAATAACATATGCAATCAACAACATTTTATTTTCTTATCTTATGCAAGTCATACCTGACGGAGACGGGGCATCGATGGTGGGACCATGGAACATGTCAAGCCTACATCATAGGCCAGTCTACAAAATCTGTAACCTGGCTCTAATACCAACTGACCCGAAATTTTCTACTTAATTTAAGGTCACTACTGTATACGTACCATAAACATTGAATGCGGAAGACTTCATTTAAATTCCATAAAACATAACCTTTATTTTAAAACACAACCATGGACTTACGTGTTTCGAAAACATCTTTAAAACGACACAACAAAAGACTAAATAAAATAAATAAGCGTTTAAGTTAAAAACATCCTATTCTAGCCTAAGTCTAAGAAAATAAATACCATTATCCTATGCATGTGCCATGGTCTTGAGTTGCGATGCCGTCGTCAGCCGGTAATGCCTTGCCTTAACCTAAAAAATGTAGTAGCATATGGTTTGAGTATTTAGAGAAATACTCAGTAAGTGACCCCACTATTGGGGTTCAATGCAAGAACATGCGAATGCAATGACGGGACCTATCCTTTCAATCTATTTTCCTACGGTACTGTCCTAACGGGTAATTTGGACGTGTACCATATACTCTACACACAACCCATACGTGCGGGTATGGGCTAACCAACCGTTGGGCCACCTTACTTGTTAGGCGAGCATACACTAAGACGTTCCCTAGGCCGGACACCCGTTAGAACTAATAACCGTCACGGCAGCGCTATGCAAAATATAACGATCGTTGTTCTGCCATTGGATGTACGCGTCCGTACTCTCATGATGGAATAGGGGAATCCCTCTAAATGCATGAGGTCCCCAACATTTCTACTTTTATCATTAATGAATACAACCCTGTCATTATCTTTCATGCTTAACATGTCATTTCTCATTTTTCAGTCTACGTATCATACATAATCATAACGAGGTTACATTTCATTTCATTTATCGTGATATCATGTCATTCATAACATGTTGTATACATACAATTTAGAAAACATAACATAACACTCCATACTCTTAACATGTCGTTTCATAACGTGCAATTCATACAACAATTACCTCGATGATCACATAAAACAATCTAAAAATAATATATCACATCACAATATATCGTATCATAAACATGTCATATCGTAAACACTTCGTGGTCGTATCGTTCTCTAACTTATCATAGTCTTAACGTTCTTATACCGATCACAATCATATCATTGCGTGAACGTACCTTAGTCATATCATCACAGGAACGTATCCTAACGTTATCGTTCTATCAATCTATCACAAACCTATCCCTTTCTACCCATATCCTAACCATATTCTTTCATCAATCTCCCCTATCCATAGCACTCCAGTATGTAACCTAACATTAACGTTTCATGAACATATTTTACTCCTATCGTTAGATTTCATTTTGTGCATCATTCTAGTATTCTATCTCAAACATATCCTTGAACACATCGTACCATAATTATTATCATACAATCTACATATTATAACATAACATAAACATAATATAAGCATATCGATTCACAGATAATTTACACATATCAGTATATATGACACGTGCAGAACCACAAGCACGTGTCAACATCAAATATAACCATGCTGATACTAAGGCCACTTACCTGACTAGCTTAAGTCGTTGTCACGAATAGGGTTTAGGGTTTAGGGTTTAGTTTGATTCCGTCCTTTGAAATCGGAGTCAACCTATGTGAGCCCATGACATTAGTTTCAAGTTTGAACTCTATAACATTATCTCTCATCTACGTTGGTCTATTGTTAAAAGTCTTAAAATGTTATATATATATATATATATATATATATATATATATAAAATGTTATTACCATTGTAGGGAATATATTGTTACTGACAAAATTTAATGGAGTTTCTTATCCACTAGTACTTCCGATTTTATTTTTAAATTTTGTTCATCAAATCTTTCTTCAATCTTCCCTCCTTCTGATTGTATAAATAGATTTTCATTCTCTACACAGTATAAAGAATGTTTCTAAATAGATATTATTGTCCAATTTTAATGATTGTTTGCATAATCTTACAGATTTATATAGCTGACAACAAAAATCTAATTAATTGGATAAGAAAAAAATGTGTAAAATATTGGATAAAGGAAAGAAGATCTATCCTAATTTCTTATAATAATAACTATAGGAAAAGGAAATATGAGATCGAATTTTACCGTAATAACTAACCAAAATCTCTAAACATCCTAATTTCTTATAACAATAACTATAGGAAAAAGAAACCTGAGATAGGATTTTACCCGTAATAACTAACCAAAATCTCCTTAAAGCCATTTTACTTTATTCTCAAATCTGACCATTTTTATTTTTTCTGTTTGTTTTTTCCTGTTACTCTCGCATAAGGATAGGTTGAGGAGAGATAATTGTGTGAATGAGAGGTTAGTGGAGAGAACCGAAAGGTTTTATTTATTTATTTATTCATTATTATTATTTATTTAACTATATTTTTTATAATTATTTTTATTTTATTTTATTTTATTTTTGGGCTATTTTTAACTTCGCCCTCATTTGATAACACTCCCCTTTAAAATTTATGATATAACATAGAGTTTATTGTTTGGTTTTATAAATGCTTTATATTTAATTTAATGTAATTAACATTCCTACTTAATTTATAAAACAAAAGGATTTGTCCATTTTATGTGTTGTGTCTCCTAATAACTTACCTAAACTCAATTAGGTTCATTAACCACTTCCTTAAAAATTACTATTCTTTTTTAATTAAAAATTACAAGAATACTCGTAAATTTCGTCTTTACTTAAAAAATATTTATATTTTATCGATAAATTTGTCTTTACTATACAATATTACTCTTTTGACCTCTCATATTATTCACGGTATGCAAAAGTCCAATTCCATCACTGGCAGATATTGTCCTCTTTGAAATTTCCGTCAAATTTTTTAAAATGCGTCTGCTAAGGAGAGGTTTTCACACCCTTTATAAAAAAAATGTTTCGTTCCCCTCTCCACCCCATTCGGAGCCCAGCGTCTTTGCTAGCACCCAACTTTATGTCTGGCTCTGAAATTATTTGTAACAACTCCAAACTCTAGCCGAAATTGTCCTTTTGGAACTTTTCATTTCTGGGTTTCACTCAAGGTTTTTAAAACATGTCTGATATGGAGAGGTTTCCACACCTTTTATAAAGAATGTTTCGTTCCCCTCTCCAATCGATGTGAGATCTCACGATGTATATTATATTAATAACTAAAATCTTATAAAACTCAAATATCAAACAGTCACAAGTCATAAACATCACTTATATCCGCTACAAATATCAAATATTTTTCATTTTCATAATAATCTTAAAAATCGAGTAGATTATTGTTGGGTTGTAACTCTATTTTTTGATTTGTTGGATTAGACCCAACAAAAAAAATGTAAACATTAGAATTGAATTGAATTTTTAGTTTTACAAAAATTCAACCCAACAAAAAAAACATTTTTATAGTTTGAATTCTATAGTCTACCGAAAGTTTGAGATTGATATAAATTTTTATTTAAAATTCAAAGAAATTATAAATAAAGAAGATACTTAATACTATTCTAAAATGGATTATTTGATGGAATAAAAATTAAATAATATATAAATAATCTCACTTCTTATAAAATCCCTAATTTTCATCTTCTCCAAATCAATCATGCGAACAACAAAAGGTTTCAGATTGAAAATCAAGCTTCCCAAGATCTTCAAACGGAGAACCACCTCCAACCCTTTTTCCAAGCTCTTCGCCCTCGCTACGGCGTCGTTTTCTCGCCCGGATGCGTACTCTTAACCGGGTCCGGAACGGACCGGAAGCGGTGGCGCCGAAGGGGTATTTGGCCGTGCACGTCGGTGGACTGGAGGATGAAAGGGAGAGACATCTTGTGCCGATGATTTACTAAAACCATCCGTTGTTCGGGAAATTGCTGCAGGCGGCGGAGAGGATTTATGGGTTTCAGTATCCGGGTCGGATCGTCATTCCGGTTGATGTGTCGGAGTTTGAGGAGGTTACCAATTGCATTGCCACGGCGGAGTACGGCTGCCGCAACTGTCGTAGCGGTGGCTACCGGTGGCGGAGCTGTAGAAAGTAGAGTCTGTTACTGGTACTGACCGAAGAGGATGGTCAAAAAGCATTGGCCAATGGTTTTGTTTTTCTTTTTTTTTTCTAAATACAGTAATTATCGATTTTTTTAATATCACGTTACCATTTTTTTTTTTATTTTTTAGCTTAGCTAAATATATATAAGTAAATAATTATAAATAAGATTTTATGTTAATAATCAATAAATTTATGTAATAAGTGGGTTGAAATTGGTGGAGATGAGGGTTGAAATAGGAAACAAGAAACGAGAATAGAAAATACTTCCACGTCCTACTCATCCTTTGCAGGTGAGGGTTGAAATAGGAAACAAGAAACGAGAATGAAAAAGACTTCCACGTCCCTACTCATCCTACTCATCCTTTACAGATGAGGGTTGAAATAGGAAACAAGAAACGAGAATGAAAAAGACTTCCACGTCCCTACTCATCCTACTCATCCTTTACAGATGAGGGTTGAAATAGGAAACAAGAAACGATAATGAAAAAGATTTCCACGTCCCTACTCATCCTCTGCTTTCAACTGAGTTGGCTTTATAATTTTTATGCGAATAATAATAAAAAGAAATCAATAAACTAAAGTCATTTTAATTTTAAAAATAATTATGTTAATTTGATGGGTCAAAATAAGCAAATAAGAACATTTTTAAGGGTAAAGTGTAAATGCAAAATTTTCGAGTAATAAATGTTATAATGGAACATTAACCATGACGAGGTAATCAATTTTTTTTAAATAAGGATCACGAATGCACCGATTCAATGTGTGATACCTGACCTAACCCAAATTATTAATGATTAATTCCGACCCTTGAGTAAAATACATGATAAACAAAGAAAATTAGTGTTAATATTTTCCCCTCAAAGAAGACCACTTCAATTTGAGTTGAAACCACAAAGGAGGAACACCCAAAACTCCACGTTGTAGCCTTGGATCAAACACATCAAACTCTACCTTTCTTAAAGAATCCAACAAAACTTGAGCAGGCACAGCCTGCAAAAGCACGGGCAGCGCCTCCTTCGGCACGGTCCCAGACAAGTCTCGAGCTTTTCGCAAATGAGCATTGGCTACAGAAGCCATCTCAAACACTGCATCACATAGCCTCTCTCTCGAATCTAAGTGCATCTCGAAACGCCCTCCCTGCTTAGCCAGCAGACCGTGCTCTTCGGCCACTTTGACAGGAATGTAAGAACAATGGCGATTTCGAGTAGCGTGATATGGTAATGACTTGAGCAACAAAAGCAGCCCTCCTGCCTTGCCGATATGAGATGCTGCATGATCGGCTGCTGTCGACCTAATGCCACCAGATTGAAGGGTCATGTAGAGTAGTGTTGATGCAGTATCTTCAGCGTATTTCTCTAGCTCATCCATGGTTTCTGGAATTTCAGTGTCCTCCCTTCTGGCGTCGTTAATACGAGCTTCAACAGACCGTTTCAGCCACAGTTTGCTTATTTTGTTCTCAGATATCACAGATGAAAGGGCTTGTGCTATTGGATGTTCGATCTTTTTGCTAGCGTATATTTTGTCGATAGCTTCCTGCCACCACACGAGTCGCATGAGACCGATCCTGGGATCGGTAGCAACGTCCATGGCCCTTGATGTTTCAACGTTAAATGCTCGAAGTGCAAATGCAGCCTTCCTCATTGAAGGGGGAAGTTCCAGGAGGCAGAGGTAATGATGGTAGTCATAGCTTCGCACTTGCTGTACGCAGTGCGAGAAAGCGGCGCGTAAGCTACTGGATGCGATCGTGCCATTCATCACATTCCAGATGTCAATCTACCTGCAAATGAATAATCTTATTATTATCATTTGTTACCGAAAGTAAAAAAGGAGAATTTAAAAGTTTCATATTGTAACAGCCTGAGCCTGAGCCCACCGCTAGCAGACATTGCCCTCTTCAGGCTTTCTCTTTCGCGCTTCCCCTCAAGGTTTTAAAATGCGTCTACTAGGGAGAGGTTTTCACACCCTCATAAGGAATGTTTCGTTCCCCTCTCCAACCGATATGAGATCTCACAATTCATCTCCCTTGGAGTCCAACGTCCTCGCTAGCACACGTTCCCTTCTCCAATTGATGTGGGACCCTAATCCACCCCCCTTTGGGACCTAGCGTCCTTACTGGCACACCGCCTCGTGTCCACCCCCCATCGACATCTCCCAGTTTTGGCTCTGACACCATTTATAACAGCCCAAGCCTACCACTACCAGATATTGTCCACTTTGACCCGTTACGTATCGTCATCAGCTTCACCGTTTCCACATCCTTCTAAAGAATGTTTTGTTCTTCTCTTCAACCAATGTGGGATCTCACAATCCCCCTCCCCCCTTCAGGACCTAGTGTCCTCGCTGGCACTAGGGAGAGGCTTCCACACCCTTATAACAAATGTTTCGCTCTCCTCCCCAACCGATGTGGGATCTCACACTCATTCCACATGACTCACACTAGTTAAAAAGGTAAGACATTCCACCTTGCCCTCTAACGTTTATACGGTTTAACCATTGGGGGCCTATCAACGTCGTGCGAAACAATTAATCTCTTTCTTCAAGTCCTAAGCAAATATGAAATGACTGTCGCACCAGATTTTGTGAAGCAAATATATATGTTATAAGCATCACTATTTGCAGCTTGACTCCACTACTGATACAAATACTTCATTCTAGTATACAAATACTCATTAAACCCAGCAATTAGGAACCAAAACGTACGCTTCCTTTATCTGCCGAAGGGTATTCAGAACCAAGTTACATTCAAGAACTGATAAGCCCTTATCTAAATATAATTTTCTTTTTCACTTGCTTGATAGATCTGTAAGCTGTCATTTTTTTAATAAAGAACCAAAATTTCAATGCAAAAAATGAGGGAAAAAAAGCTCAGAGAAAAGAGGCAGAAGGAGCCTCAACTAGCAAAAGGAGCTCCAATCCAACAACAATCATGTTAAGATCATAATTACAAAAGACTCCATCAAAACTTGTTAAGCTCTTTAAACAGTAAGAAGTAGAAAGAGGATATTTCTAGAAGAACACACCAAAACTTGTTAAGTATATTTGTTAACATTTATTAGACATTTTGTTAAGCATCTAAGCAAACACATAATAATGTAAGACAAAATTCACAGCGGAATACATCAAAATCATATTTTAGGATATAAAGAAATAAACTTGTGATTTTGTAATTAACTTATGGTATAAAAATAATATATATTTTAAAAAACGGTTCCTTGTAGTGTTTGTGTACTACATTAAAAAAAAAAAAATGATGTGTAACCTCGTATCAAGTGTATTAGTAAGTTGTTGGGCTTTCGTAACAACCCAATCCCACCGCTAGCAGACATTGTCCTCTTCGGGCTTTTTCCTTTTTGGGGCCTAGTGTTATTACTGACACTCCTTCCCCTCTCAAATCGATGTGGGATCTCACAATCCACCCCCCTTCGAAACTCAATGTCCTCGCTGGCACACCACCCAGTGTCCACCACCCTTCGGGGCTCAGCGTCCTCGCTAGCATACTGCCCGGTGTTTGGTTCTAATACCATTTGTAACAACCCAAGCCCATCGCTAGCAGATATTGTCCTCTTTGGGCTTTCCCTTTCGAGCTTCCCCTCAAGGTTTTTAAAACACGTCTGCTAGGAAGAGGTTTCCACACCTTTATAAGGAATACTCGTTTTCCTCTCCAACAGATGTGGGATCTCACAATCTACCCCCAACGAGGCCCAGCGTCCTCAATGACACACATTCCCCTCTCCAATCGACGTGGGATCTCATAATTTTTAACCTAAAAGCTTGAACCTAGGACCTTATAGGACATCAAACATCTGAAACTTTTATCACTGTGATTCCTACAGGTGATGCAATCCTCAATTCCTTACGCCTAAAACACCCCTCAGGTATTACAGAACTCAAGATCTACCATCAATTCAGAAAATGGAAAAGGAAACGTGCTAACACTTCACTATCAATTAACAAGTTGCAACAATGAAGTTTTATGAATTCAAGTAATGCTAACAAGAACAGATTAAAATGGGTAAAAAGAAAATCAAAAGAAATTGAATCCCATGTAACTCCTCCTTAACCCAAACTGAAGATCAAACAACAAAATCTTTGCTATTTCATTCAGTACTTAAAGCAAGCACTTGATGTGCATCCAATAGATTCCATCAATACACCATCGTTCCGAGTTACAGCCATTACCCTCGATCCAAATTACGAAACCAAGCAGCTAAATAGAAGATAACATAAAATTTGAAAGGATGCATACAAGATCTCTCTAGAAAACTAGGAGAAAAAGTGAAAGAAAAAACAAAACCGTGAAACAATCGTTGCAGGAAAACTTACTCCAACTTGGTAATCGAAGAATGTCTCTAATGTCAAACACTGGCTTGCAAATTCTTTGAGAGAGATAGAGAGAGAGAGAGAGTACCCAAAGACCATGGGCGTTCAAACCCCACGAAGAGCCCCAGCGGAGGATATCGGGCACGTTCCTGCCAAAAATACTGCTGTTATACGACGACGTTTCGAAGCTCCAATCTATGCGAATGAGCATACTACGACGCCGTTTGGAGCCTACACCGGAACACAAATTATATACTACATTCAGTTATAAATTTCGTTTTTAATCTTCCCTAAACTTTTAAAAAATATATAAAATATTATAATATAATATTTAACATAATTTTAAAAATTTTAAATTTCAATATTACAAGATAAATCTAAAAATAAAAATAGGTTAAATTAAATATATATCTTTAAATATACTCTGTATTAAATTTTTATTTATTTATTTACAAACAAAAATTGATTATAATTAAATTTCAAATCCGAATAATCAGAGGATCAAAATATTAATTTTAAAATGTAATAACTAAATAAAAATTAATGATTTTTTTATTTATTTTTTTAAACACGAATAATTAGAATCAAATTTCCCAAAAGTCTATTTTACCCTCAAAATATGCCATATTTGATTATTCCAGGAGAGGATAAACTAGCAGTTGTTTCCAAACACCCCAATTTTACGAGGCAATCGAACATTCGAGAACTTCTTCGAGAAATCTAAAAGTTATTTTCTACTCCAAAAATAAAACGAGAACTATCTGGGTTCTTCTTTCGAAATTCTTCGCCATTATAAGATCTTCATCTTCCCCGTTTACTGCAATTTTTCCTCCGGATTCTCAGATTTCTCACCAATTCTTGTTGCTTGACGGTTTGTTTTCCATGGCCGACGAAGCCAAAGCCAAGGGTAATGCGGCCTTCTCCGCCGGGGATTTCTCCGCCGCTGTCCGTCATTTCTCCGAGGCCATCGAACTTGCTCCTACCAATCACGTGCTTTATTCCAATCGATCTGCGGCTTATGCTTCTCTTCATCAATATTCTGAGGCGTTGGTTGATGCAGAGAAGACCGTTGAGTTGAAGCCGGACTGGCCTAAGGGTTACAGCCGTCTTGGTGCGGCTCATCTCGGTCTCGGTGAACATGAGGCGGCTGTATTGGCTTATAAGAAGGGGCTTGAGATTGATCCTAGCAATGAGGCGTTGAAATCCGGGCTGGCTGATGCTCAGTCTGCGGCATCTAGGTCGCGGCCAGCGCCTCCGCCGAATCCGTTCGCGAATGTTTTCTCTGGACCTGAGATGTGGGCTAAACTGACCGCTGATCCGACGACTAGGGCTTTTCTGCAACAACCGGATTTTTTGAATATAATGCAGGAGATTCAGAGAAACCCTAATAGTATCAATGTTTATTTGAAGGATCAGAGGGTGATGGCTGCGTTAGGGGTTTTGCTGAACTTGAAGATGCATAATACGGCCGGGGAGGAAGGCGATATTCCTGAGGCCTCCTCTCCGCCGGCGGAACGAAAAAGAGCTGCTGTGCCCGAGCCGGTGAAGGAGCCAGAGCCAGAGCCAGAGCCAGAGCCTATGGAAGTGACGGAGGATGAGAAGGAGGCAAAGGAGAAGAAGCTGCAGGCACAGAAGGAGAAGGAGGCGGGCAATGCGGCTTACAAAAAGAAGGATTTCGAGAAGGCAATTAATCATTACTCGAAGGCATTGGAGTTGGACGATGAGGACATCTCTTTCTTAACAAATCGAGCTGCTGTCTATTTGGAGATGGGAAAGGTAATGGGTTGTACGTATGATTAAATGCTGATAACTTTCATGATTGTTTTCTGTTTCTATACTGCGTTAGGCATGTTATGCAAACATTTGTCAATGGTCTGTTTCTGAGGGGCCTTGATCTTTAGGCGAAGAAAAATTTTGATTGCAAATTATTTTGGAAAGGGCTCTTTCAGAAGACTATAGAAAAAGAGATGCCCACCTCATAGTTGATTTTACCCCATGAAAGCATTTAGAAATGCGAGTAATTAAGCTATGCTTGTTCTTTCTCTGCAGTACGAAGACTGTATTAAAGATTGTGATAAGGCTGTTGAGAGGGGAAGGGAGCTCAGGTCAGACTTTAAGATGATTGCAAGGGCTTTGACTAGGAAAGGAACAGCGTATGTAAAATTGGCAAAATGTTCAAAGGATTATGATATTGCTATTGAAACTTTCCAGAAGGCTCTTACTGAGCATAGAAATCCTGACACCCTGAAGAAACTTAATGATGCTGAGAAAGCAAAGAAGGACTTAGAGCAACAGGAGTATTTCGATCCTAAAATAGCTGATGAGGAACGGGAAAAAGGTATGCTGTTTTTCCCCAGGTTTTGTTCCTTTTTATGTTTTTAAATTTTACTGATACAGCCGAATGGATTGAGTTTGTAGAAGATCTTATTCTTTAGATATTACTTGATTAAAGCAATTGGGTAACTTGCAAATTGTAGGGAAAACTTAAAAAGAAAGAAAATTTACCTTATTGCTCCAGGATCTGTTGTATTCTTAAGCTTTAGTTATATTTTCCTCCTATCTTGATTCTTGATTTTGTGAGCTTTGGCTAACTTCTTGTATTTGATATAACTTCTTATGCTTACTGATTTGTTCACAGGCAATGAGTATTTTAAGCAGCAAAAATATCCTGAAGCCGTGAAACATTACACAGAATCCTTGAGAAGAAACCCCAAGGACGCGAAGGTCAGTGCATTAGCTTTGTCTTTGAACTCTGAAGAAATTGGCTCCATCCTTATATGGTGAGATGTGTTCTGATGTATTGTTTTCTTTACAGGCATACAGCAATCGTGCGGCTTGCTATACTAAGTTGGGCGCATTGCCTGAGGGATTGAAGGATGCAGAGAAGTGCATTGAGCTTGATCCTACGTTTGTGAAGGGTTACACGAGGAAAGGTGCAATTCAATTTTTCATGAAAGAATACGAAAAAGCTATGGAAACTTACCAGGAGGGATTGAAACACGACCCTAAAAACCAAGAATTACTGGATGGTATTAGAAGGTAAGCATTGTCTACTTGAATGCGGGATTAGGAAACAAATTCCACTTAACTGAAGCTGAGAACTTCGATTGCAGATGTGTAGAACAGGTCAACAAGGCAAGCCGTGGTGACTTAACCCCTGAAGAATTGAAGGAAAGACAGGTAACTCGTGTTTTCGAATCGTGTCGAGTAGTGAGCTTTTAGTCAGCTTTGTGTTTCGTGAATTGGTCTGACATGAACTTCATCTTTAGGCCAAGGCAATGCAGGACCCAGAAATCCAAAATATCCTCACAGATCCTGTAATGAGACAGGTATGTTTAGATCTTATTAGGCTTTGTTCTCTGCTTATGCATACTTCTTGAGTTTGATGCATGTGTTTGTTGGTGGCTCTTTGTAGGTATTAACTGATTTCCAGGAAAATCCAAAGGCGGCTCAAGAACACACCAAGAACCCAATGGTGATGAACAAAATCCAGAAGCTGATTAGCGCAGGAATTGTCCAAATGAGATGAACAGAGCAACCCCATTTACTATGACCGGTCAGAAAGATTTCTTAAAATTTTCAAGTGCAGTTTGGATTGTGTGTATCGTTTGGAATTATTGATATAGACCCGTTTTTAAGTCGAAATAATTTTCTTGCATAGTAGTCTTTTTTGTTTATTAATGGTTTTGATCCTTAGTTTCCTTTCCCTTGCACAGTACATTGGTGTTCCATTTTAAATCATGAATCAAATTTCGTAACGCACTTGGCACTAGCTCAGATGATTGTTTCGTATGCTAAAGTTTTGGCTCAAAATTGAGTACTGCACAGTTTTCTTTCTTCTTTATGTTAGTGCTCTCTTCTCAGCTTTTTTCATCTCGTTCTTGTTTTTAACTCCTTGTGTGTGATTAAAAGTTCAACAGAGTGGCTACATTTAGTGATCTTTAGGGTTACAATTTTACTTCATGGTCTTGTTTGGTGCCTGAGGATTTGAGCATGGTTTGATTTGATTGGATTTCTTTTACCCGTAGCAATGTTTGAATGTTATAAGTTTCGCTTTTAATCTCCCAAAAGAAGGGATAAAGCTATGGGTCTGTCTTTTGATATCTTTTTTAAGGATCACTAACATTCAAGATTATAATGTTCCGTCTTTAATTGAAGCTATCGGTAATAATACCTATAGATAACTATTTTATAAATTAAAATTCTTTCTAAGCATCACTTATAGTAGTGAAATTTAAAAATATATATATGCATGGTAACTCAGTATAAACAACAATTCTAGATCTTTGCTCCCAAATTAATTTTAATCATCCAAATCTTTGGAGCATATGGTTGGGATGATCCATATGGGACTAGATAAATTTTTTTGTGCAGGATCTGCTATGTAATGGTCTTCAAAGCTTCCATCGTCTAAGTTGAATATACCTAAATCTTGAGTTCCATCCAAGATGAACGTAACGATTATCGGTGAAATATATATGATTTGGTAAACATTTAGGAAATTCTTTAGTTGAAACACAAATGGACTTAGCATCACCATCTAAGCTCTTTCACCTTTACTGCCCTTCGCATGTCATTTTCATTCTCATGAATAAGTTTGTAAACTTCAAAGTCGACGGTTTTGAATTGTTTTTGTTCTTCTCCGGTGTCTAATATTCTCAAAACAACCCAAACCTCTTCTTTGGAAGACTCTGTACATTTTTAAGGAAATAGAAATAGATGAACTTTTATCCTCACTCGCCTGACCTTCAACTTTCCCAACATTCAAATACTTTTCTGTGGCATATAAAATACCACTACAAATATTAATATCATTAAAGGAAATATTTAGTGTTGGGTAGTAATACGTCTAATTTTTATCATTTGCTCTTATGAGACACAATCTTAGATATGTACCAACGATAGCTACAACCATGTAATCGTTTGGATATAATAATGAATCGTTGGTTAGTATTTCTTTAATTATATAGTCTGGAATCTACTCAATTTCATCATGTGTAGCAATTGGAGGAAGATAAATCACAATCCCAAAAAAAAATGTTGAATAAAACAATACCGAGTGTCTCATAACACATGATCAACCAACCGAAAGAGGAACCACAACACCTTTTGTTGAACCAAAATTTGAAGTCCTCCGAGCGAACTATGTTCCTAGTGAGATCGTATA